TTTTTGAATTATTCGTACGTACAAAGTATGATCATACCGCACGATCGTACATGCTCAAAATGGAAATTATCAATTTTTTGGACAGTTTTTTGAGCCTTTCACATAAAAAGTCCTTTGAAACTGACTTTAAAAAATCTGTTCTTCGTGAGTTCTTTGAGAGCAAGTGAGAGAGTGTTTGAGAGAGAATTTTTGCAAGTGGAGTGTGAAGGGATCACAAGGGTACTCAAAGGTAGGGCTGCAAGTGAACCAAACGTTCGACGAGCTACTCGTTGTTCGGTTCGATTAAAACTCGTTTGTGATCGTTTAATTAACTAAACAAATAAACTTGAACAATATTTTAAATACTCGATTCTTAAATAAACAAACTTGAACACTAATGTGTTCGGCTCATTTATGTTCGCGAACAACATCATTTGAAGTTCGTGAACAAGCTCGACATTAAGCTCGATAAGAAGCTCGATTCGTGTTCGATTTTGAACTCGTGAATAAGCTCGATAAAAATAATTAATATTTGACTATAAAATTAATAAATATAAATAATCATTGCCTTTCTTACATAGACAATTGCTTTTATTATAAATGTGTTTGTTCATAGATATGTTCATGAACGTGTTTGTTTGATAGTTAAAAAAGAATTCGTTAAATATGTTCGCGAACAAGCTCGATAAGCACTAAACGAACGAACATGAACTGAACATGAACCGAACATGAACACTCATTAATTTAAATGAACCAAACATGAACACAAACAATAAAGCTCGAACAAACATGAACCAAACTTGAACAATCTGATATTAAATGAACACAAACATGAACACTCACATACTCGGCTCGGCTCGGTTCGTTTGCAGCCCTACTCAAAGGTAAGAATCTCTTTTGGTTTTTGGTTACTACTCTTCATTATTTCTTTCTAGTGGCTCGAGAGAAGATCTTTGAAGAAGATCCGGTACTTTGTCGACACTTGAAGGGTGTGAACAAACGACTGTTTTCTGCCAACACTTAGAGGGTATGAATAGACGAAGGTTCTCTGCCGACACTTGAAGGGTGTGAAAGGACTACGGTTCTCTGCTGCATCGGGGATTGGTGAAATAGAGGAAAATTGTAAAGGCTTCTCCGCCTTACTGTGGGAGCAAAAGGAGAGTCACTCGGTAATAGTGCAATACCTGAAGAGGGAGTCTTCAGTGAGTGGACATAGGTCTTGTTGGATCGAACCACTATAAATTCTTGTATTCTTTTTTATTTTCGTATTTTTATTTTTTTAGCAATTTAGTATTTATGGTTGAAAAATTACTTTTGTAAAATTAAAAAAAAAAACAGTTTTCTATTTAAAATTCATGAAAATATTAAATTACCAATTCACCTCCCCTCTTGGTTAGCCATGAGACATTTGCATAGGCTTAACAACCTATATGGAACGGCTCCACTAATATTTGAAAAATTTTGTGAAAGAGAAAAATTACAAGACCTTGCCCAGTCAAAACGACTCCACTAATATTTGAATATATTACAAAAGTCAATACATCCTTTATCCCAAGGACATGGAGTATACAATGTATTGAAAAGTTTTGCCAATCTTCAGACGGATACTCTTGGTGCAAAAATATGGTGATGGTTGGGAAGAACTTTGATGGCGGTCGAGAAGAATCCCATGGGTGGTCTAGAAGAATTTTGACGGCGATCGAGAAGAACTTTGATGGTGGTCTAGAAGAACTACGAAGGTGGTCCGAAAAAACTTCAACGGTATAGCTCCCAAAGTCTTTTCTTTCTCCTCTCTTTCTTTTTCTCCTCCTCTTTTATGTGAAGAATGGGGTCTATTTATAATTTTATATGATTGGCATGGGTTGTAAATATGGAGAAAATCAAGGTCAAGTTGGGGGTGTTCTAAACGGACGGTTGATATCGAATCCCTCGATCATAGAATGTTGATCAAGCATTTAAGTGCCTTAATGATGTTAGAATTTGATGATCTCGGGCTCGGTGGATTCATTTTCTCAAGTCGCTCAATTCAAATATATGCATGTCATATTTGAAAATCATTTACTTTTCCAATTAATGATTTGAAGCCTTCAAGTAGGCTTAAAAAAATAAAAAATAAAAAAAAAAGCCTTCAAGTATGCTCTGGACTCTTGATTTTGACTTATTTGGGTTCAAATAAGACTGATTTTGATGTTGTTGGGTTCGTCTTTTTGAGATGTTTAATCAGAGTTTTGATGATTCCCATTTTAATTTTGGAAGTTTCTTGCATGAATATGCCTTGAGATTCGTGCCTTATCAAGCCAATTTTTTTGTGATATATCAATAAGTATATATTAAAAATAAGAACGTTAATAAAAAAATAGTTTAAAAAAGTTTTTGAACTCGTCATAAAATGCTTGCTAATAAAGACACAAAGTTATATAAGTATGAATGAATATAAATGCCGTAGAAAACATGCAATATTTATTTGCAACCACCAATCACTTTCAACTCAACCTAACCATTTAAACTCTGAATCATTACATTAAACAAACTATGGTCCCGATGCCAAACAAAATTTAGGCTTCGTTTGGGATGACTTTCTTGTTACTTCTTAAAGCAGTTTTTTAGTACATAAATTTTAATTATTGAACTAGAAAGCTACGTTAAGAAGTAACAAGAAAGCCGCCCCAAACGAAGCCTTATAAATCTTTGCTGATCTTTTCATCAAAGGCAGCATCAAACTTCGTTCGAGACAACTTTCTTACTATATTATTTTTCAGTATTTAACCATTATTTCTTTTTTACTATTATTTTTTCACTACTTTCAAAAAATTTTTGAACTACAAAACTGCTTTCTACAACAAATTTACAAAACAATAAATAAGCTATCACAAACAAAGCTTCAAACTCTTTTTCAATGGTGGGCAATATATGATGGGGATGTGTGTAACTTTAAGGGTGAAAGAAAAAAAGAAAATTTTTTCTTACACTTGTGAGCAATGTATTTATTCAAATGGGACAAAATAGCTAAAATATTTGTTTTGTTTAGAGAAAAATTTTCGAGGTGGGTAATTTAGGATCTAAGAGAAATTATTACAACCGGTCAAAAACCGAACGATGCGAATGTATACCGAGTCCAAAATACCGAGTTTCAGATGACGTGGCGTGTGGTTATTGGTTTCTGAACGCATTCGGACACCGGATGTAATAATTGCTCATATTTAGGATAGGTTTCTTGTTGTTTTCTAAAACAACTTTTTAGTTTAAAAACTTCTTGAACTGTAAATTTTTGTATAAAAAAACTGTTCTAGAAATCAATAAAAAAATTGTCCCAAACTAAGTCTTAGTTTAGAATATTTGTTTATTTATTTAAAAAATTGCATTAGATAACAAATAAATCCACTTTTATATTATATTTATTGCAAATTAAATGTAATAGTTATAGGCCGTACACCAATTAGAGGCACATGTGCTTAGCAGTTTTAATGACAATTATTAACGTAATTTTTTATCAAGTCAGCATATTAACAAACTAAGTTCTTCTGAGGGATTCAATTATGCAAACTATAAATATTTTTTTTTATTTAAGTAAGGCTATAGCTTTCAAACTGGTTTGACAATTATGTTTTGATATTTTATTAAATCGATGCATTAATATATAAGTTATGGCTTTTACATAATTTAGTAGTAAAAGTTTTAAAAATTATTATTATTATTTTGAGATTAAATTTTACATGCATCAAATTTATATTTAAATATTCAATTTTTTTCCTTAAATTTTGAATTTTTTATTGCTACATCATAAAAAAATTATATTGATCGGGCACAAATCTCGATGCAAAATCAAGTCAAACTGAGTGTCTCGATGTTACGAACCCAACGACACCAAATTCAACCCAATCCGAGCCCAAACGGGTCCAAATCGAGGGTTAGAAGCGCTATTGGAAGGTTCAAACCACAATTTGGATTTCCAAACAGTTTCCAAACTTGACGAACTTATAGTTGAATTGAGAGGCTCAATGAGACGAATCCAACGAGCCCATGATTGCCAAATTCCAAAGTCATTAAGACCTTCAAATATCTGATAAACGGTTTACGATCGAAGGATTCAATATCGGCCGTTCATCCGAACCACTCCATATTTTTCCCTGATCTCTCATCTATTTACGGGCCATGCCACTCCAGAAAATCTATAATATACCCCTCATTTCTCTTGAGAGGGGATCCAAGCAAGAAGAGAAGAAGAGAAGAAGAGAAGAGAAGAAAGAAGCTCCTCCTCGACCACAACCGGAGTTTTGCCGGACCACCGCCGGAGTTTCGCCGGACCACTGCCAGAGTTTCGCCAGACCACTGCTGGAATTTCGGCGAACCACCGCCGGAGCTTCGCTAGACTACCACCTAAGGCCCTCACCTTCGCCGGACCACCACCTGAGGCCATATATAGCCTTCACCGGACCACCATCTGAGGCCCTCGCCTTCGTTGGACCACCACCTGAGGCCCTCACCTTCGCCGGACCACCACCTGAAGCCCTCGCCTTCCTTCACCGGACCACCATCTGAGGCCCTCACCTTCGTTGGACTACCACCTGAGGCCCTCTCCTTTGCCGGACCACCACCTGACATCTATAAAATCATTATATTATATTATATATTGCGATAAATACTCTCCTCGCACTATATATAGAATAAGGAGATAAATACTCAATAAAATATATTTTATTTTTTAAATAGTTTTCTTCATAAAATTTTTTATTTAAATATTTTAATTTAATCCAAATATTTTTTATTTTGACATATATTGTATCATCATACTAGCTTAAAATTAACATATAAATTTTTATCTTAAGATTTTAAATTTCAAAATCATTAAATTTATTTTCAAATAAATAAAAAATATAAATAATCAATAAAAATTTACATAGCACCTGATTTTGAGACTATTCTTAATAAAATATTTAATCAAGGCATCCTAACCCAATTATTCCCCATTTAATATTAGTTCATATATTACCCATAACCATAACACCAAAAGCCACTTCTTAATAATAAGCCAAGTCCCCATCCACACCCTTCTACTCTTCTTCAATCTATCTCACACACCTCTCTCTTTCTCTCTTCCTCTCTCCTAAAAGAAGAAGAAACTATGTATCAAGAGGCTCAAAGAAGAACTCATGACAGGAAGCTCTCTTCTCTCCTGCTCTCCAAGGAGAACTTGGAGAGCAGCTCTTCCTTAAGATTCTACTACGCTGTCTCCACCGTTGCTGTCCCCTTCTTGTGGGAATCTCAGCCCGGCACGCCGAAGAACACCATGGCCACCTCCACCGTCCCACCACTTACTCCTCCGCCTTCCTTCCACTCGATCACCTCCAACAAGAAGATGACTATGAGTACAAGATCCCACAAGAGCAAGCTCATCAAGCTAAGAAAGCCAAGCTTGTCTTCATCTTCTTCTTCATCTTGGTTTTCTTCTAACTCTCAGGAGTTGGAGGTGAGAGCAAGAAGGGGTTTCCACTCTAAGGGTATGATTAAGAATATGTTGTTGATGATTGTTGCATGTGCTAAATTCATGTAGAGTACTGTTTTATATGAAGTATGTTATATGGTTATTATGTTTTATTGGGTATTATTATGTATGGAATATTTTATTATAAACATTTTATACATAATAATATGTAGTGATGGAATGGTTTTTCATAGTTGAGAGGTTTGGATTTGTAATGATCTTTCTTCTTACCTACACTCTTGTTTCTTTTTTCTTCCATATATCTTAATTTTTTTTTTTTTGAAAATTAATGTGCGTTACTAACCTATAATAATGTGGATAGGTTGTGTAATTCTAATACTTTTCTTCATATTTTTGCTGATCTTATGATGGCCTATCAATGATATATATATATATATATATATGGCTACCACAACATTATTTTTGACTTATTCCAGCGGTTATAATTCAATTGTAATTGATATGTATTGCAACAACATTCCGCAACGATTTATGAACCAGCGGGATAGATTTGAGAAAGTGTTGGATTTTGCAGCGGCTATAACCGGTGCAATTGCATAGATTTGCATCGATTATAACCATCACAAATACTATTAAAGTGAATTGCGGCGGTTATAACCATCCCAATTATGTATGTTTGTGATGGTTATAAACGTCACAAAAATCCAGAATTAAAAAAAAAAAAAAAAACGGAACCTCAATTTTCACTGCAATCTCATATACACATCAGCATCCAACCCTACTGCATATCTTCAATTAATTCAGAAATATGGAGCATACTCGGTCTTATGAGAAAGGAGGAAGAAACAAGAAGGATACTGCAAACATATCAATAAAAAGGCTATCGTGAATTCACAATGAATAACTTGAGCTGCACAAAAAATGAGAGAGATGGGAAGAGGTCAGGAGAGCAGCGTGGAAGAGAGAAAGAGAGAAGGGGATCGATTGCGAAGGAGAAGTTAGCTAGCAAGCGTCGAACCGGGTAAATACTAGGGCATAAGTTCGGAATATGCTAGCGGTTAAAACCGTTGCAAATAGCAGTAGTTAAAACCGGTGCAAAAATATGATTTTGATAGCCGTTTTCAAACCGCTCCTAACAATTGCTGCGAAAAAATAAAATTTTAAGTAGTGTAAGCTTATAATGTGACACTTTGCATTGATCTTCAGATCATCAAAATGCAATAGGAGAGTGATGAGTTTATCAAAGCATAGTTTGTTCTTATCCGATGATGGACACAAATTACTTTGTTTATATAAAGTGTGTTAGTTTGTTTTAATTATTTTTTAAACAAGATTAGGTTTTTATGTTTTACTTGATTAGCAAGTTCTAATTTTATATGCTTAGATAACCATACAAAGTTTTGCATAAGATATATAGCTCCAGGCTGTAAGATCATAAAAATCCAAAGACAAACAGTCATATTCATAATAAATATTAATATATAAAATGAGAAAGGTGACAAAAAAACTTAAAATATGAAAATATTTTTATTAAATTTATATTTTTATTAATTTCATGCTAATTATTTAAGTATTAATTTTGATGTTATCTATAAAAAAATAATCAATATATATTATAAAATTTATTAATAATTAAGCTACATGTCTCTGGTTCAGATAAAAATTATTACGTGTGGTTATCCGGACTCCAATACGCGGATTTTTCTCTCTCTTATACACAAGATGTGTACAAGATAGAGAAAGTTAGTGTCTCCACGTAATTGTAGTCCGAACGAAAAGCTGGGTCCGGACTCTTTACGTAATAATCTCTCCTCGTTTAGACTAGAGCTTTGCCCTTTCCTTCATGTAAACTAATTTTCTGCACAAACTATAGTATTAATTAAATCTAATCTTCTAAAAATATTATAAAATTTCTTAATCAAGTGATTAGTTGTGAATTAGCATTTTATAGTAAGTATTAGTTAGTTTAATGTGGTCCTCGTGCACCTAAACACATACATCTTACTAAATTAATAAAAAAAACTTTCTGCTCCAAAGCAAAGCTGCGATTCTTAATTAAAAAATGTTGGGTTGATTTTATCTATTATTATGTTAACCACAATAGATGTTTAATATCTATAAAAGTAAAGAAGAAATAAAAATTATAAATGATAGAGTAGAACCAACCCAACAAATTTTTTTATAATTTCTCCCTAATTAACCTTCTGGTGGTTCTTTATTGCTACCATTGTGAGATTTCATCTCTAATTCTCAGGACTTACAACCATCATCAATGGCACAGTGGCCTTTCTGTACCATCTTGTTTTCTTTCACCAGGTCATTCCATCTCAATCTCAAAGAGGGCTGTTTTTTTTGGAACGAGGTATTCAACAGTTGCGACCTCCGAGTGGGCGCTTGGCTACATGATTAATTAGTGGCTGACTTAGAAGAAGCACCTACCCCAGAAACCTTTTGGCCCGCACTTGATCGGGCCCCACTTATGACGCACTGACACTCGAAGGGAATCGAGCATGAGTTGGGGGTTCTCAACCGTTCTCGTCCACCAACTACACTAAGCAACGGTGGGTCAGAGGGCAACTTTAACTCCACTAGTCACCTTATTACCTTCTTGCATCACCTTACATGTCCCATCAAGATCTTAATTATTTTGCCTCCATGAGAATGACTACTCTAGTCATCCAAAATGACATTCTTGACCTTTTATTTATTTATTTATTTATTATAACAAGGGTTGGCCGAGCAAGCCAATCCTATAACATCCATAAATTATACCGATCATATATCTTGATAACGATATAACATATAACGCCCATCAACTAAAAAATGTGTGTGACATACTTAGCCATCCTAACTTTTTTAACAGTCTCGACCTTTTAGTATCTTGGTATCACCGGCAATTAGTTCATGTTGTGTTCATCTCAAAAAGCAAATATATTATGATACCTTTCTTTATTGCATTATAAACAAAGGTATTAATAACAATCTACTTTCATTTGTTTTGTTGTGACATATTTTTCTAGTTGTGAAAAAGCCTATATAATTTAGGGTAAATTATAAACTAAGTATTGTTAATAAATTATGCGATTAAGTACATTATAACTTTTTTTTTAAATAGGCATAGTGTAAAGGCTGTTTCTCTCAGGATCGTGCGGGACGATCAGGGACATCGTCTAGGACGATCTGTACAGAATTATGAAGAAATCTGTCATTTCGTCTGTACGAACCTGGAGTAGTCGGGACGAACTGAACCCGAGAGTTTCGTCCCGGGACGACGAAATTGGCATTTAATTTCGTCTGGACGATTGGAGTCCATGGGAGTTCGTCCCGGGACGAATTTGGATCGTCCGGGACGATCAGTGTTGATAAATATCGGAATTGAGATATTTTTGATTCATTTGAAGAGAGAAAAAAGAAGGAAAGAGAAAGAAGAAGCTGATTTCGGAGCCCGCGGAGCGCTTTTCGTCCGACGACGTAGTTGGAAGATTTGTTTGTTTCGAAGTAAGGAATCCGAATCCTATTTCTGATTTCGAAGATTTTGAGTTTTGATAATTCTGTGCCCAGTTTTGTGTTTCCGTTACCGAATAACACGCATAATTTTGTATTGACGAAAGTTTTACCGCACAACTTTTGATATGTTTCTGATATGATATTTCTGCACGATTTGAGTAGTTTCTGTAAAGTTTCTACCGAGTATTTCGAGTTTTGTGCGATTTTTATCGAATAGAAAATTATCAGGATGTTGGAAATTGTTGCTTCAGTACAAGTAAAGCTTTGAAACGTTGTTTTATTCGATGTCTGGTAATATGGTAAATTTCTGAATTTGTGATTTCTGTGTACATTCCGTATACTGCCGTTACGCTGCCGATTTTTCGTACGATCTCTGATTTTCTGAATTGATGATTCGAATAATTTAAAAAGCATACATATGTGATTATATGATGGAATTATTGTTATTATTACTGAAAGACAAGTGAAGATTGGTTGAACCGTTGGTTGGATATTGATTTGACCTGTACAGAATGGTGGGCCGACGGGCTTTCCTTTAAAAAGGGTTTGGCGATATCCTCTATTGATCATTGATATAACGATTGGGAGTCATAAGGAGATTATTATGCCGACGGGCACAGAGTGACGACTCTTATTGAGCCAACGGATATAACGACACAACGATACATCAATACCGAAAAACGCCTTAATAGCCAGTGATTGTACTTGTTCAGTAAGACTATTGTATTGAATTGCATGTGTACAGTATAGACCTATTGATCTTATTATGGATTTATAAATTTATTGATATCGACGGACTTCTTATATTGATTATTGATTTATTGATTTTGAATGGATTGACTAACGGATTTACTTGTTACTGTACGGTTTCATTGATATTCGCATTATGTCACTGAGCATTGATACTGCTACTGATATGGATATCGATATTACATTGACTTATTGATACTATGGACATGGATACTATTGATTCATTGATATTGATTCATTGATAATATCTCTTCATTGATATACCGTGTTGAACTGCTGCATGTGATTCATTGACTGTTATGGAATAGGTTTTACTGTATTGATTTGATTTCCACCGCTCTTGCGCTGTATTGGTTTGATTGTTTTATATGATTTCGTACCGATTGATGTTATTGACCAGAGATGATTGATTCTATTGATACGATATTGATTTAACTGATATTATCGAGACGACGGTTTTTCTCTATCAATTTGACTGATCGATTTAACTGAGATTCATCCGAATATAGATTTTTTTTTCTATTGTTTATGGATTTCTTCCTACTGTTTATCGATTCTTTTACTGATGATTGTGGATTGTATCGATCATGCATTGATTACTGATTTTTGTATCTGCTGCATAGATTCACTGATCATGTGCAACTAACTGTTATGGATTTGATTGATTGATATGCATATTATTTCAGTACCGTGCTTTGATTTCAGTTATAGGTATTAGGTGACATGCTGGGCTTTTTAAAGCTCATTATGTGGTTAATATTTTCAGGTCAGGGCAAGGAAGCAGGTGATTGAGATTGATCTGGAATCTTCAGGTTTTTGTTCTTTTTTATTATAGTGATTCTTTTGTACTCAGGACAGGATAGATTTCTTGTGTTTAATGTGTAGATCCTGATTATTGTATATGAACTTTTGGAATATGAATAGAATTGTACATTGATATTTTAACTTATAGATTTTGTTAGACAGTTTGTTATTGATTGAAGACTTTAGATATCTCTGATAAATGATTGATGGTTTTAATGATTGATCGAAATT